ACACACACATACACACACACACACACACACACACACACACACACACACACACACACACACACACTTTCCATTCAACTGAATGATGAATAGGAATGTGCTAAAAATGATTGCTATTTTTACAGTTTAGGCAAATATATTTCATGTGATTTATAGAAAAAGTTGAAATTCACGTGTCATAGTTAGAATGATTCATTTTTTTAAAAAAAAATTTTGTTTCTTTTAGTTTTTTAGATATAATTTAATTGCAATTCTTTCATTTACCAACAATTTTTCGTCTTATTTTTACGCTATTACATAAATCTTTTTAATAAGCAAAACAAACATCAATATATTTCTTGCAAAAATTAAAAAGAAAAAAAAATCAGATATTCATTATTACGGATAAGAGATTAATTAAAAGGAAATTGATTTCAGTTGATAATGTTAGTATGATTAATTGATTAAAAAATGCATCAAAATAAAATGTCTAATTTTTATTATCAGATTATTTCGTTTAATTCACTGTTAATGCTAATTCATTAATATGAAAGTTACTAATTGTTGCGATAGGTTTGTTAGCAATAATTTGTAAGTTAAAATTTGGTAAAATTAATTGATGCACGCAGGATAACGACATAATAAAACAATTCCAAAGTTTATTGTTGTTAATTTTGTTAATAATACAGTAAAAATAAATGGAATAAGTTCAAATATTGAAATATAGCTGAATTTAAATTGACAATAATAAGATGATAAGAGGAAATTTCTTTATCACTCCTTGTTTAATTTTATGCATGAAGCATATTTACATGATAGTTGAAATTATTTACATTTATGAAGAGTTCCATCAAAATTTTTGCAATCTTATAAGTTATTTACAATAATTAACCTATTTACAATAAATAATTTCATATACTTACATTAAATAACAAATAGGAAGATGAGAATTAGATAAATTACTCATCATTTTACATCTAGGGAAATGTTTATTTTATTTGTTTTTATGATGTGATGAATTTTTTATCTAAGAAATATTTTGATTATATTTTAATATATTATAATTTTCTTTGGTTTTCTGATAATAATTGAAAAAAAATCAAAAGAACAAATTTTATTCCTATAAGCTTTTTATGTTACATTCAGGAAATAATTCAAGGAATGATGAATGAATTATTCTAAATATATGTATATTATATTCAAAATATATGTGCATTAATATATGTATATATTTAAAGCATTTACATTCCTATGAATTATAAATTTTTTAGACATAAAAAGATCATTAAATACTATTATTGATAATTTACGATTTAAACTTTTTACGAATATCCTCAGCTTCTTTAATATTGATAACATAATGTAACAAAAAAAAAAACTGTTTAAAAGTTCTTTGTAAACTGTTTACATAATTTTCAATCAAATATTTTCAAAAAAGTTCAATTCCAGTGACATTTTTCCTGGTATCATTTGAAAATTTCTGAGTTTAATTTCATAATGCAACAAATTTTTATGTATGGATATGATTTTTGTTTTTTAACAAAAATTTTTTATTCTTTACATACCTAAAATGAATGCAACATGTCAACAAATCAGTAATCATTTCAGCACGAACTATGATTTAGTTTAATTTACAGAAGACAAGGACAACAACGATTAGGGTTAAATAATTATTTTTAATTTTAAATTGAAATGATTGATTTAGGAAATTTCAAAAATTTTTGAGCAGAATTAAACGAATTGAATCAAAGAGCAATTTAATCAATCATTTTTAAATGTTCAATTTTATTCTACCATCCTGATTAACTTGTTTGGAAATCAACTAATTATAAATCAAACATTTCATCTAACATCTCTATTAAGTTAGGTTATTATTCGGAGAATTTCGTTCATTTTTTATCAGTATTTCCTATTATATATATATATATATATATATATATATATATATATATATATATATATATATATATATATATATATATATATATATATATATATATAT